TCGGCTTTGAAACGGAGATGAGCACCGCCCCCTAGAGTCGGGAACGACTAGCACAGATGTGCGAGGGGAAACTTTACCTTTTACCTTTTCTGGTTTTATCCAAGTATAAAATATAAAAGAAAATAGGAAATTAGGAGAAGGAAACAGAAAGGGAGAAAGAACATGTTGGTTACAAAAGAAAAAAGGGGAAAAAAGGAATTGATTTCTGACTCTTTTTAGCCCATTGCACGTAGCCCTCGACTTACAACAGTTCGCTTAGTGAACGAAGTTACAACGGCATCGAAAAAAGTGACTGACTTATGACCATTTTTCACACTTGCGAATGGTCAAGCGATTTACCTTCGGAGGCTTGACACAACTGATTCACATTTATGACGGTTGCAGTGTCCCGGGTCACATGATCCCCTTTTGCGACCTTCTGACAACCAGATTCACTTAACAACCCTGTGACTAACTTAACCACCGCAGTGGCTCACTTAACAACTGCAGCAAGAAAAGTTGTCAAATGGAGCAAGACTCCCTTAACACATTTCTCACTTGGCAACATACATTTCTGGCTCAGTGGTCATTGTAAGGTGAGGACTACCTATATCAGTAACTGGCATAGCACATGCAGACTTTGTGTTTTATTGCTGAAGTAGTTCATAGACTCCTATGGCTGGAAGGGACCTTAGAGATCTTCTAGTCCAACCCCAGGTCCAAGACAGATCTTATTCTATCCCCGGATAAATGGCTGTCCAATCTTGAAAACTTCCAATGTTTGCCAAATTTCAAGCAGCAATTTATGGCCGAATACCACCTTTAGGATCCAATAAGATGGGCAGTTTCATATACAGGTAGTCCTCGACTTACAGCAATTCATTTAGTGACAGTTCAAAGTTACAACGTCACTGGAAAATGTGACTTACATTATGTGACTTACATTACATTACGTTTTTCACATTTGCAGCACCAGTCCCCATGGGCTGGTGATCAAAACTCAAGACGCTTGGCCACTGACTCACGATGATCGCAGTGTCCCGGCGAAGGGGAGGGGGTCACATGATCTCCTTTTGTGACTTTCCAACCAGTCAGCGCAGAATCCAGATTCACTTAACAACAGGTTTACTAACGTATCAGCTGCAGAGATTCACTGTGGCGAGAAAAATTGTAAAACGAGGCACAATTCACCTAGGAAATTGTCTCGTTTAACAACTGGAAATGTTGGGTTTAATTATGGTCACAAGCCGAGGACTACATGAGGAGGTGAGACATGATGCTTGGCTTTGGCTTTAGCCCCCTAGCTTACTAACCATGATTCATGGCTTAAGTGGCACCGGTTTGTGAAGTTAGCTTGAGCTGTTGGTGCAAAATTCACTTAAGAAATTGTCTTGCATAAAAACAGCAGGAAATGTGGGGTTCAGTTAGGTCCCAAGCCGAGGACTATCTGTACCGAGGTGAGACGTGAGGCTTTAGCCCCCTAGCTTACTAACCATGATTCATAGCTTAGTGGCACCAGTTTGTGAAGTTGGCTTGAGCTGTTGGTTTCAAAATATCTTTGCAGGTTTCTTTGGAGTATAATCCAGGCTGGGCCAGCTCCCGCGTAAATCTACTACACACCCGCGCGGTGGGCCTCAACGACACACTTCACTACGTCTGGAGCACCATCGGGGTCCCCACGGTGTTGTTGGTGTACACCGCAAGCGACAGCAGCTCCCTTCGCGTCAACTGGACCCAGCTCCTCTCGTCTTCCCCAGCTGGAGCCATTCGGATCGATCCAGCCGACAGTGTCTTATATTCCACGGCGGTGGTCTTTCCAAGGGTGCGTCGGAGGGGGAAGGGGCTGAGGGATGGTGGGAGGAAGGCAAGGGGAGACAGGTAGTTTTTGATTTATGACGATTCATTTAGTTACAGTGGCAGAGTGGTGTGGTGTGAGGCTGTGAGTTCAATCCTAGGTAGAGGCAGGTATTTCTCTCTCTGAGCACAATGAGAATGTATCTGCTGAACAAAACTCCTCATTGGCAACAGGGAAGGCGTCTGGCCAGTAAGCATTTCGCTCCATTCAGTTGCCCAGACTCCACCCCGCAACGAATTATGGGGTCATTAAATGATGATTTAGTTACAGTAGCACTCAAATGAGTGTCTTACAACCTGTCCTCGCAGTTATGACCGTTGCAGCATCCCTACGGTCAGGTGATCAAAATTCAGACACTTGGCAGCTGGCACGTGGTCCTTGACGTACGGCCATGATTGAGCCCCGAATTACCATTGTTAAGTGAACAACAGTAGTCCTCAACCTATGGCTACAATTGAGCTGCCAATTTCTGTGGTTAAGCAAATTTCCCCTCATTTTACGACCTTTCTTGCCTCTGTTATTAAGTGAATCACTTCGGGAGCCACGAAAGGTCTCCTGGGAGATGCCCGAAGCAGGCTGGCCAATCTAGTGCTCCCAGATATCTAATCCTATACAGGGGGTCCTCGACATACGACCACAATTGAGCCCAAATTTGAGCGAGACATTTGTTGAGTGGGTTGGGTCCAATTTTACAACCTTTCTCACCACGGTCGTTAAGTGAATCTCTGCAGTTGATAAGTTAGTAACCTAGTTGTTAAGTGGCTCCCCCCCCCATTGACTTTGCTGATCAGAAGGTCGCAAAAGGGGAATCACCTAACTCCAGACACACTGCGACCGTCATAAACATGAGTCAGTTGCCTAGCATCTGAATTTTGTTTACATGACCATAGAGATGCTGCAGGTCGTATCTGTCCCTTTTTTCGTTGCCGTTGTAACTTTGAATGGTGACTGTTCTGTCCCCCCTTCTCCGCTCGTTAACAGACGACAGGCAGACAAACGTAAAAGGAACTCACTTTATCAGTTCTNTACCCATACCCATACCCATACCCATACCCATACCCATACCCATACCCATACCCATACCCATACCCATACCCATACCCATATCCATATTCACTGCATATACTGTATAGAGCAGGGGTGGGCACCTCTGGGAACTTTCCTGAGTAACTTTCCATGCTGGCTCAGGAATTCTGGGAGTCCATAGGTCATATAGAGCTATGGTGGTTCAGTGGTTAGAGTGCAGTACTGCAGGCTATTCTACTGATCACTGGCTGCCAACAGTTTGGCAGATCGAATCTCACCAGGCTCAAGGTCGACTCAACCTTCCATCATTTGGAGCTCAATAAAATGAGGATCCAAATTGTTGGGGGCAATATGCTGACTCTGTAAACTGCTTTGAGAGGGCTGTAAAGCAGTATGAAGTGATATATAAGTCTAAGTGCTATAAGTGCTATGTTATAGTTGCTATAGTTGCTCTCCCAGGGTACAAAATGGAATCAGGAAAGGGACTCAGTGTGCCATAATTTTGATGATAATTGTTTACTCCAAGCTGGCAAATATTAACCAAACCATACTCAATGTCTAGAGATAACAGAAACAAACCCTTGTGAAAGAAAAAAAAATTGGATTGGGTCTATGAGAAAAATGGACATCCTTCCCTCTCTTGCACCACACTTTACAAAACCTAGTGATTGAAAAGGAACCTATGATCAAATTCTTACCTGTTGGGTAGAGGCTTCATTTTGGAGTCCCCAGAAGTCATGCCTCTCTTTCTTGACATAAAGGCTTGTAGGATGCATCCTGCAGGTGAGGAGGCAAAGTTCTTGGCTGTGTTTGTCCTGCTGTGGGGAACATTTGGAAAGAACTGAAAAAGTTCAGGTACCATTTGTGAGTAATGGAGTCTTTTAAAAGGGGGAAAAATCACATTATAACATAATATAATAAAAGGTCATAAAGGAAATATTTCATCAGGGGCCAAAACTTCCATTTTATGCACTATACAAACTTGTAACAGATCTCCTATCCCCTCAGGCAACAGCTCCACCTTGAATATCCAGTTCAAGAGTCGTAAAAATACAATTACAAAATACAAATACATATAATAAAAAAGTACAAGACAGCATCAAGAACCATTCTGTTTTCTATATTTCTGAAATTATACTAGTGGTGGGTTCCTACCGGTTTGGACCAGTTTGACCAAACCGGTAGTAGCTTAGCAGTGCAGGGCGCTGGAACCGGCAGCGACCCAGGTCTGCCACGCCCCTGAACCAGTTCTCCCAGCAGCACCGTAGGTGCCACCATCTTACGCAGGGCAATTTTAGTTGTACTGCGCATGCGCCCTGAGCGAATCGGCAATAGACTCTGCCAGAACCCACCCCTGAAATACACCATGGGGGCCAGTTCTAATGGCCAATATAAACTTTATATAAATTGATAATTCATTTGAAGAAGTTATATTTCTGCTTCTTTTCATTGCCAAATCAAGAGGTCCCTTCGTTTCATACTTAGTGTCTTTATGATGAAATCAATCTACAATTTTTGCAAATCCTATTAGCAACTGTTCCTAGAATTAACATCCCCAATAATTATGGTACTTTGTCCTTCATTGCTATCTAGGCCTAAAGAAGTCTGAGATTGATAGTCATTGAAATAATACAATGAAGCATACTTCTTCTGCTTCTCAAATTCCAAGTCTGGTTTAGGTGCAAAGGACATTCTCTCCACTTAAAGACAACATTAACTCTGTGGGGTCCTTGGTGCACTCAAAACCTGATTGTTTTCTGAGAGATGTTTCATTACCTACCTAGGTAACATCATCAGCTAACCCTCTCTTGATGATATCCAGCTCATAAAATTGAAAAAAATGAGTACAGATAGCCTTCAACTTATAACAGTCCATTTAGTGACTGTTTGAAGTTACAATGCCATTAAAAATAATGACTTATGACCATTTTTCACACTTTCACAGCATCTCAGTGGTCATGTGATTTACATTCAGATGCTTATAAACTTACTCATATTTATGACAGTGGCAGTGTTCCAGGAGTCTTTTTGTGATCTTCTGATGAGCAAAGTCAATGGAGAACCTAGGTTCCATTTAACAACCATGTTGTAAAGCAAATTGTTTGCAAGGTTGAGAGTTCAATCCTAGGTAGTGGCAGATATTTCTCTCCCCAGGCGCAAATAAAAAAAAATCTGCTGTGAACGCCACATGGTGTCAGGAAGGGTATCCAGCCAGTAAATGCTCAGCTCCATCTAGTTCCCCCCAACTCTACTCTGAATTACTTAAGGGATGAGAGTTGCAAAAAGAGGAATTACTAATTCCGTCATTTAACGTCTGCAGTTAACCAATGTGGCAAGAAAATTTGTAGAATGGGACAAATTCACTTAACTACATAAATTTTGAGCTCAATTGTGGTTGTAAGTTGAGGACTACCTTATTTATTTAGTCACACTCTCTCTTGAAAGAATGCTGCCTCAACTGACCCTCTTCTTAAATGTACAGCCTAAGACCTTCATGCAATATTTGGATCAAAATCACCAAGAGTTCTCCGTGTGTATGTGTGCGCGAGTGTATATGCATGTGTATATGATGGGAGTAATAAAAAGACTAGTTCTGTAAGTGTGGAATTCACTTGAAAAAGTGGTTCAAGTGATATTTGTATCTCTATTTACCATCTGATTAACCATTTCTTGCACTCTAAGATATACCTTTGTGTTCTGTCCCCCCTTCTCCACTCGTTAACAGACGACAGGCAGACAAACTTAAAAGGAACTCACTTTATCAATTCTCGGCTCAGACTGGCTGCGAGCCCAAAAATAAACATAAATAAAGTCTCTGACGAGATAACAGAATACCAAACAAAAACTCTTACAAAGCAATGCACTTCTCCAAGTGTCTCCTTGAGTCAGGGTTACAGAAAACCAATCACAAATAAACCACGACCTAGGATCAATGAACGTTGAATGAATGAATGAACGTTGACTCCTGCAACCAGGGCATGGCACCATCCGTCCTTTTATCCCCAGAACACACCACTAACAAGCCCCAGCTGCATTGGTAATCTTGCATCCCGAAAAGACTCACAGAAGACTGCTACTGAGTCACAACAGTTAGGGCAGGAGCTCTGGGCAGCAGATTCTGGCTGTATCCTTCCTGGGTTCCTGTCAATGGCGGTCTCACAATTATGGCTAAAGACTTGGACT